GGAAAGAAGGGAATTTAATGTGAGTGAAAACAGATTAAATGCTTAAACATGCTGCAGAAAATATAGTTTATGCCTATTGTCAGTATCTGATCTGATCTATGGGGACTCTGGCTCCTGCAGAGTCATCCATCACTGTCACAAATCACACAAATTGCAATGGAGAAAGTGTCACAGCTGATGGAGTCTCGCTTGTTAACGTTGATTGAATTTACAAAGATTAGTTTGTGATGGACAATGATTTACAATATTATGCTGAGTCAAGATGAGATATGGTTGGAGGAGTTTGCAGTTCTTCTCAAGAGCATTAGTGTTATCACTCATAATATAATGTATTTTGGTGGTTAATTGCGCCCTAAAGATGATGTTAGAATTATTTAAAGTCAACCTGGATCCAGAAGGTGACCCAGACACCAGAAAAGGGAAACTGAAAATCTAATTTCTGGGGGAAAGACTGACAATTTTATTTTTAGACAAAATTGCCCAGCCCTAATTAGAAGTGGGCAATATAGCATATAAAGTGACGTCTTTGCACTTTTATGGGTAATTTTACAATCCTCTTACACTTTAACCTCTATTACCAAATTGAAAGGTATGTATAGCACATTTCTATTGGATTGCCAAAATGTTCTGAATGGTTTCATTAAAGTTTCAAGATTTTTGTCAATATTGCTCCCACCTATAGTTATAATGTTATTATAATAATATTCTAAGTGGTATTGATTTATTAACATATAACATATTTAGATCACCATGTTGTTTTGATGTTCACAGAAAACAACATATTAAAATGTTTTATTAGTTTCAGTTTTTAATGCTGAGTTCTTACTCCCCTCTAGAGTGCTATCGCAACACAATCAGCGTGCATTCTGCTACTGAACTGCACATTGCACCAAGTTTGTGAAGTTGTAGTGTATTGCTTTGTTTCCCGCTTTATATATTTATGAAAAATGGCCGTGCTGGAGCATTGGTGATGGCTTATGGTCTGAGCCTTGTACAAGAGACGTGTGCTATACTGCCAACAAAAAGGAGGGTTCAAATAGTGCCTGGAAGAGATTGCAAGATTACTCAAGCATGGACGACATAAAAAAAAATAAATAAATAAAAAAGATGAGGGAACAACATTATAACACAGTAGAGAGCTCTAGAAAGTCAATTTTGCATAAGACCTTCTCATTAAATTATATTTAAATTAACACATATGCATAGATTTGCATATTAAATACATTTGGCCATGTAGTTTAGTTTAATCAAACAAATAACAAGGACTATTTTCTTAGTTAATTTCAGATTTGCAAGATAAAAATTTGCAAATGTAAAACTACCCCATGTGACTGTCTTCGGAAAGCAACAAGACTTTCGACTGAGTGGTTTTTCTCATCAGCAGAAACCATCAGACACAACAGGGGGTCTTCACTGTGAACTTTTGTAATGACTGATTTTTAGAGGTTTTTAATTTCATTATGGAGATTGCTAGCTCATTACATTTGTCTCTGTAACTGCACCTAACATTATTATCACATGGCTAAATCTGATCCCCTTAATCTCCTTTTCATCATTGTTCTACCCCCATCTCCATAGACCACGGTCTGATGTGCGCAAACATGAGTAGATCTGTCATCCTCATTTGCATAGGTGGAAGCATTCAAGCAAGAAAAGAAAAAGGCCAAAGATTAAAATTACATTCGCATCCTGTAGCAATTACATACATATATATATATATATATATATTTTAGGTCTTTCTGGGTTCATATACTCACCTATATACTGTAGACAATTAGGGGAGATGTCGAAAATGTACTTTATTTTTTGGGACATACGTAACCATAGCAACGCACAGCCACGCGTGAAATTTCACCCTGCTGGAAAACAATTAGAAGTGACATTTATCCACATGTGAAGCATTTGGGCTTAGCGGGGAACAAGGATTGCACACCCACTCGCATTGTTCTGGTAAATCTGCTTCCTGCTTGAACTGGAGATATGAGCAACCAGACAGAGCAGATTAGGCAAGGGTTATGTTCAGTTGTTGAGTAGGAGACCCTTACACGGCTCCCTGCTGAGGTGGAGGTGGCATATTACACAAGTAAGACTTTTTGGATGAATATAACTGTATATTCTTTTATTATGTTCCTATTTTTGTTATGTAAACAAATATAATGAAAATGGGAGCAGAAGTAGTATAAGTAGTCCTTTTTGCAGTTAAGGTAATGTTAAAGGTGCACTATGTATCTTCTCTAATGGAGTGTCAGTCTCCATGGATATGTTATTGCTTCACCTGGAATGTTCACAACTATGCTATTAAAGGTACCCATCTTAAATTGATTGTATTACTCAAAAATTCTCCTTTCCACAGATCTGACTTGTAACTTGGTCTAATCTTGTCTACTTAGAGATAACTAAGTTTAATAACACACTGTGGAACATTCTGAGCACATTAATAATGTGGAGACAGGAACACAGTGCACTTAAGAATGTTAGTTAATGTTAAGTGTAACCAAACCTTTTACTCAAGTAAGAGTTACACTGTTACAGTGTAATATTACTCAAGTATGCAGTCAGGAAACAACAGGAAACAAGTACAGTTTCTTTCAAAGCTGACATGAGTATTATCCACTCTGAAACATTTCAGTGCCTAGGCACCCATCTTCACATCTTGAGTTGGCTTGGTCAGGACTCTCTTAGCTGAAAGATTTTTGCTACTGTGCATGTTTTGGGTTGGTTAATATATTCATTAAGTAGTGGTAGGATCATTGTAATAATATTACTTCTTAAGTAATCATTGCAATAATAAAAAGAATAAAATCATTACTTAAGTTTTATTTTGAATGACCTTTTCTTTAGTACAAGTCTGCGGCACTTCCTCCTCTGGCTCCGTGCCTGTTTGTGTGGTGTTACCTGTGGCTCCCCTACAGCAGACACAACAGGTACAAAGTCTTCTCTGGATCTCAGACATCTCACCGAGCATCACTCCAGACAAGCCTCTGCCTCTGCCATATGGTGTTCAAACCTCCACTTATTCCCTCCATCGCTCCGCTGCTCATGCCAAGAATATGTGCCTTAATGTTTCATGTTGTGGTGACAGGGGCAGAATATGATGGGATGTGATAAGTTGCCTCTCAGATCCTTTTTCCATAAGAAGTGAGAATGAATAATACAAGTACACACAGAAAGGGCAAGAGGGGAACAAAAATAACTAAGATGATAGGTTACTAGTAAAGGAACATTGTGTAACTTTTCTGGTGAAGGGACTGTCAAATGCTTTTCTCCAAGGAGATGTTATTGCTTTGTCTGGAATGTTTCACAGTATGGTATTAAACCTTTCTGTTTTCATGGAGACCAAACCAGACCAAGTTACAGATCAGATCTATGGAGAGGCAACCCCGCTCACCGTCAGAATGCCTGTTTTTCTAGGTATTTTTTAGCTATAAAAACACCTTTATTAAAAAAAAAAAAGTAAGGCAGAGGCATATTGTGGAATATTCCAGGCAGAGCAATGAACAACATATCCATAGAAACAAGCAGGTGATGCATCCCAAACCAAAACGTTACATTTAAAGTACCCCTATGTACTGTTTACCTATTGAATTCTGATAATGAATTGGAGGCATTTTGCTTGCTACTAATAACAGTGATCAAAGTAGTTATGTAGTAGTAATCATGGTACTGGTAGGATGGACAAAGTCTGAGGTGATATTAATGCCAATCAATATAGGCAAATAACAGAACACCAGGAGAGAGAAAATTTGCAGTCAACCCAAGAAAGTGTTTTGCTGAAATAGATAAAAATGAATTGAAGTTCGTGGACTGGTTTGCAAAATAGAAGAATGTACTCGTATATTGACTTTTACTGGAAAGCTCCAAATACCCTATTTAGCTAGGGATGTTTGCAAGATAATTTTGCTTTGATACATTTGCAAAAAGCATGTTTATTGTGGTGACATTTGTGGCGAGCTGGTCTGAAGATGTCCCTGTTATCGTCTGTGTCTCATTTCCATGGTGAGGAAAATGGCAGTCATTTCGCAAATGCTAGCAGAAGCAGACATATTATCGGCGTCTAAATCAGGCCAGCACCTCGCAGAGATATTGCATGTGACTCATTTGCTGACAGAAAAAGCTCCACAGCTCCATCATCGTATGGGTACAGCTGGATTTGTTATCTGTGCACATTTGTTACAGAATTTAATGCCTCAAAGCGAAGCCAAAACCATTTAAGCCTTTTCTACTCATTGTTTTGCACAAGCTGAGCAGAACAAACCATGGATGATTAATGTAGATGTGGTACGCTAAGCCCATGTACATACACACACATGTGGCAAGAGAAATCTGCCAAAAGACTTAAAAGGCATTGTAAATAATGCACACGTCACCAGTGTTTGGTTGAATTTGCTTCATCCAAAAGTTAAGGCACATGCTTCTTTGAGGGCTTTCTTTTTGCATATATTAAAATGAGTTGGTGTGGGATGTCCTTTTGATGAAAGTGGGTTGGCATGTATTTTTAATGCCATGGTGTGGTGCAGATTGTGGATGGTAATGAGGACTGGCATGTTGAAAACAGGCTGCTGCACTTGTCTCCTCCCAGGTGCAGTCAGCACTCAAATAGGAGCTCAGCTGGTGCCCTGTGTTTGTCTCAACAAACTGGATACATCACCTTTCTGACTCTTTGTCTAGCATGCATACATCACAAGTGACAGCGGAAAAATCACATGTACTCAGGGGTTTTGATTTTTGATTTTTATATTTTACAAACCTGAAGTCTGTACAGGTACATTTAGAAAATAATATTTTGTTTTCTGGTATATTCCAACACTTTCCCATTTTATTACACCCTATAAACCTGAGACACTATGAAAATATTACAGCAGATAGTGTCAGAGAGCTTGCTACACAGTAGCAAATATAAAAAAGTACAAAATCTTATTGGACCCTTTAAAGCGCCAACAATAATCTGACTAACTATAAGAGACCACCATTTCAAATATGGCGATAAAATGTCTGCCTATTATGGCTGAGTAGGCAAAGTAAACTGCTTAATGATGATGCTCTTCAGGAGACATCCGGGTGCTTTGCTTTGGGCCTCTTTCACTCTCACACAAACACTTGTGCAGTCGTGTGCAGCCAGGACGGGCACAGCTCCTTTGTCCCTTTGGCAGTCCATCATGAAGAATTGCTAAACAGCACATTTGTGATGAACCATTTCTGTCCAGTGCATTTCTGTAGAGCCAGCTGGTAGCCAAACTCATTGTCGCTGCCGGCGACGAGCTCCAGGCATCTCTTTGATTTCCTGTTCTGAATGGGTCCTCCCTGAAAAGAGCAGAGACGCAGGTTAGGAATGGACTAGATCCTGCAGAACAATTTGTGCATTTTTAAATCCACAGCAGAGCAGGTGGATAAGGCAGTGAGCTCCTCAATTTACACACTGCATTTTAGGGGAAGTCATACAGCATCCTCCCAGGGACAAACGGATAGCTTTAACACTGTTTCAAAGAAAACCGCAAACATAAACAAAATCTGAACAAAACAAATGTGAAAATAGCCAATGGGGTGTGTTGTGCTTCTAAGTGAAAGTGCTTTTAGAGAGATTTGGAATGCTGGTAAATCTTCCAGTGTACATTCACAATGCATTATTAAGGAGACAAGAATTCTTTGATTTGAAGGAGATCAAAGAACTTGCACAACTATTACAAGGTAAGAAACACATCTAAAAGAAAAACTCTGGTATGCCATCTGTTCTTACAATCTCGAAAGTGCAGGCATATAAGAAATAAAAGTAATCCTTTCTCATTGGAGGGGCTGGTCAGCTGAGACAGAAAAATGATCTTTATTTTCCGTATAGATAACACATCGTTAACTCTTGATGAGACCACACGACATGGCAGAAGCCAGACAAATTAGCTCTATTGATGGTTGAAGGATAAAATCCGATATGTGCTGATGGTTTTATTATAGCTCCCACTGGCTCGGCGCACCTTTCCATGAAGCGCATATAAGACTGAGAGGATTAAGCCTCTCTGTTGATTTTGTTTGTAGCTGTTGCTTTTGTGAGACACAGCTGTATAGTTGTTTGAAATGATTTAGGTATTCGTGTCTAGGGCTTTTCTTTTGGTCTCTTATAAATACCGTCAACAATACTTTTTTAATAAAGGTGTAGATGGATGAGGAATATGGTTGTCTTATGCTGAGAGCATAATAAGGGGATTTCCTTTGCCACACACAGCGTTAAGTGCCTAACCTTTCATGTCATGTTTCCCCAAATTAAACATATAATTAATTACCAAAAGGACACCATTATTGACAACAGCATTGAAGTTCTTTATCGAATGTTGTTAATTCATTTCAGCCACTGTCACAGGGTATATCACAAAATGGATAAAACCTGCTGGCACTGAGCACTAATGAAGTAAACCATTTTGTTTAGTGACTCTTGAGTGAAGTAAAGTACCTGATAAGCAGAAGCTCATTTACATTTAAATTTTTGACATAAACAAAAGGAAAAAAAATCTCATATTTGAAAATGAAGTTACCTGAGTGAAGAGCCAGTGCAGCTTCATGCGTTTGGATGCGGCGTAGCTGCATTCAATGAGACGTGCTCTTCCGTTCACGTCCACCAGGCACTTGTTGTCGTCATCATCTACGGTGGGACTGAGCAGCCCCACGTGGAGCTGGTGCGCACTCGTGTAATACACATTCTGAAAAAAACAGCACAAATGAACGGGTTAGCCGCAGGGACTGACATTTAGATAATGACCCCGTGCAGCTGCAGGTAATAAAGCATGTCTCTAATATGAGCTCAGGGCTTGTCTCGAGGAACAGACACGCATTACAAATACATTAGGCTGATTTATGCTCATTATATGCATGGATCAGTATAGACACACAAGGTAGGGATCAGGAATAAGTGGAGAACAAGGTGTACAAAACAATGACTACATGCACCAATCAGGCATCATCACCACCTGCATAGCTGCTTAATATGTAGCCTCACAGGCAATTACTTATTTTGTATTTTGTATTTTTTGTATTCAGGCTTCTTGGTTTCAAAACCACCCTTGACCTTATTGGCAGTCTTCAGCAACAACAATGATGAATTAGTGTTATTGCTCAAGTATTATTCATTTTCTCTCCACTCTCGGTTATGGTAGACTACTTTTCTGGCCCCAGCTACCCTGGGGTGGAATGACATTTTGTTTTCAATAAAACTGTTTTATATATTATATATATATATATATATATATATATATATATATATATATATATATATATATATATATATATATATGTGACTCACAGAGCACTTATCCAAACTGACAAATTATGGATTTTGTCATTTCAATTGGACTGGATAGTTATTTATTGGCTGCAGTCTTTCTTCTTTTGTTAAGCATAGCCATAATTCTTCTCACCTCCCTCACAGCAGACCTTTAACTGTGACAAGTGTGATTTTTCAGCACAATGCTCATTTCTGGAGCTGTGCACGTAGACGGTGGTTTGGCTTTCAGCTGTAAAGCCTATATCAGAAGGTTGTGTTTGGGTATACATAGCTTACTGTATGTTGCACTAGTCTGCACTGTAATAAAAATCTGCTGCTGTGGGATCAGATGTGTTTTTCATTTCTATTTCTGTGAGGATGTGACAAGGCATATTTCTTTGATATGTGCAAGGATCCAGGGTTTATTGACAACGCCACAGAAAACTAAAAATAATAATAGAAAGGAAATGCAGAGGACCTCCATAATCTTGTTAGATGCTGGTTCTACACAAATCCTTTGTTTGATTTTCCTGGATTTACTAGATCAAAGCATAACCATATTATAATTACATTTTTTCATATTGTTTGGATCAAGGCAAAATCTCTTATTGAGGAAAGTGTGTTGATCCAAATTTCCCATATATGCTTACCATGAATTTACATTTATAGGTAAATATTAGCAGTGTGAAGACCGATTTGAATTTAGAAGGATTAAACCAGATTATGCATTTAGTCTATAAAACAAGTTTACAACTGTCAAAGCAAGGTTAAACAATGTGTGAAAACAACAGTCTGCGACATAACAGGATGAGGGATCGATCGGAGTGGGAAGAGGCCGTGCAGCGAAGTAAATGATAATCAAGCCCCTCTGATGCTGCAGCCTTTAAACAGCCTGTTATTGTGGCTGAGACATATCCTAGAGCAGCAGAGGCAGATCGGCCTTTAAAAGCTCTGTTTAATGTGGCTGCTCAAAGTGACACACTTAATGAAAGTAGAGCAGCAGTTGGCAGTGTGGCGACAGCTGAATCGTTCACTCTGTTACGCCTTAAATATTCTGTTTAAATTAAAAGCAAAACTATGGCATAAACATAACAACAACACTTTTTATAAAGTGGGTTGTTAACTGGCTAAAGTTGAAGACACACACTGAACTTCTGAAAGAGAGTTTCAAATACTAATTATGACTTTTACTGGAGAAAATGTGAGTAGTGCTGCAAGATTAGGAGAAATCAAACCAAAATTGTGATTTAAATGTTTGCAAATCACCAAGGCTGCAATTATAGACAATACTTATAGGCAGAGAACAAAAGATCTCATCTCCACAAGGTGTTATTAAGTACAAAACCTGTAGTTTGCAGTGTATCTCTACAAACATGAAAATATAGATGTAGTTCAGCATATCATTTTTCACTCTGCTTTCAAATGATTAACACATTTTTAATGTGCACTGGGAACTGAGTCTTGATTTTAAAACAAACTGCAAATCCAATGTGTTGTCAGAAAAATCACAGTGAGATATTTTAAGATCTCTGAGACAAAAAGTGCTGTATCATAAATAAAGTCACTTTTATTGTGAAACAATGCAGACTTTTCTTAGTCCAGAGCAACAGAGATGAGTTATTTTATCCTGGAGTAAAAGGCCACAGGACAAACCCAGTGATATATGAAGAGTGCCCTTCAGAATAACTCCAGAGAGAGCTGTCTCTCACCTGCGGTGTCATCCCATGACACAGATACAGGATGGGCACGTTGTCATTGTCAGGACCTTGGTCCAGGCACAAATCGATCTTCAGAGAGTTTTTCAGCTGGAACACAAAAATAAGAGCAAGATATGATTCAAATTGGTTTAGATTGGTTTCTTTGTGTGTGTGTGTGTGTGTGTGTGCGTGCGTGTGTGTGTAGCTTTTATTATATTGTTTCTACGTATTTGACAAAATGTTAACAAATATTTTCTTCAGATTGTTAAAAAAAAGTGAGAATTAAAGTCATAATCAAAGTCAAAGCAATTAGTAAAATACAAAAGGAGAAAGTTGTTGGCTCAGAGCAATCACATTTTGTCTGATTAAATAATGAAGGAGGCTGAATCAGTCCATCAATTCACAAGAGCAATCAGTCTCAAGTGAAGTATATGACAAGTACCAAGTAAAAAACTGAAGACATAATAGACGTATTTTTTCAAAAGAGTCAAAAGTGTTTTAGTAAATTGCTGTGTTAAAAGTTTCCTTGCTTATTGCATCTTAAAATGAAAACTTCTGTTAAAAAAATGTAAAGGCACAGTTGTTAGGAGAGATTAATTTCTGATTGTTAGAAGTGCTATGCCCTTTAGGAACTCTGTTGGATTGGGGTGAGACTGAGGTGAAATGTTGAATTTAGAAGAGCACAGCAGGGGTTCATTCAGCTCTCTGTTGTCTCCAAACATGTCTGTCTAATGCTGCGTGTTCTCACTATAGCAGCATATCAACTTGACTAAATATGAACTGTTATTAAAAAAAAACACACACTGCTATTCCCATAATGAAAACACTTCCACAAACAATAAATGCCTTGTGTTTGTTTAGCAGAAGTGACGGCGCGATGACCTCTAAAACTAACCAGCTCACAGCCCTCAAACTCATGCAGTAAATATAGAATAATGAGGTCAAACACCTCGGAAAGTGAATGTAATGAGCCTGGCCTATTTCTCCTCTGCATCCCTCTGCTCTTTGAGAGTTTGTGATCAGCCTTTGCAAAGCTGTGCCGGATGATACTGCAGTGTGTCTCTGTGTATTAGTGTGTGTCTGCGTGATGAGAGGTAGGAGGACCTGGAAATGAAGAACAGGAGTGGGCAAATACAGGCACTGGCACGAAGGCCGTTGGCTGTCACCTCCACTGACTAATGCACTACAGCACAAAAGCTCCAAAGCGGACCACAATACATATGTTTAGAGTGAGGCGCTGGTGGGGCTACTACGAGACAAATGTCAATAAATATGCTGTCGTAACTTTAAAGGGCCCATATTATGCTACTTTCTGATCTGTTATAATGTTGTTTCCTCATCACAAACATACCTGGAGTTGTGTTTTGTTTCATTCACACATGTCTAACACACAAACCCTGTATATTTAGGCTGTGTTCTTCTCTCAACACTCTGCTGCACCTTGTGATGTCATGTGTCAATACAGAAAGTGCTCCACTGTGTTAAACTCCAAACTAGGATCATTTGAATTATTTTAGTCCTGGAATTACCAGTCTCTACTGAATAAAAGGTTAAAGGTAGCTGTTAACTTGAAAACTATCGCTTCATGATGTCACACGTTGGAACAGATCATTTTGAGCTTTGGAGATGTAAACAAACTAATAATAACAGATTACTCAGACATGTATGAATGACACAAAACACAATGCCAGGTATGTTTTGAGGAGGTAACAACATTCTAACATGGCTTAAAGCTCACAAGACTAAATTCTGTGTAATATAGGACCTTTAAGCTCCAGACAGGTAAGGTGAATAACATGTGAAGTTTTTAAAATAATATTATTAAAATGGTATTGAACAAGGACTTGAACCATATCAGGCAATTTCTAAAACAACTTGTGAAATCAGAATCAATGTGGTACAACTCAACCACCAAGAATCTTCTCTGTTTTGGGCCTGTCAGTATGCTAAATATGTGTAATACAGATCTCTACCAGTTTTGAAAATTGCGGTATGGGGTAGCAAACAGTGTCTGGCATAATTGGCTTTTTGTGTGTGTGTGTGTTATTTTTGTGGTTGAGTATATGTTATAAACAGTTCTAGTAGAAGTTATCCATGAATAATTTAACTTCAAATTCTTGGAATGCTTTCTGTCTTTCCATGATTTTATGTGATTTGATTTGATGTTCCAGACCATCTTTCTACCATCAAATTTGTTTTATATTGAGATATAGAATATAGACTGTGGTTCAGCTACATTTTTTTTATCTATATAATGAGGGTTTACTCACCACTCCGTACGCAATGGTGTCACTGTACATTCTCATCTCAGGGTAGATGTTGACCAGATACCATCGGAAGGTTTTACACTGCAGCCTCTTCCTCAGGGCTTTCCTCTCTGAGATGTCCCCGATATCTATCCCCGAGTCCTGAGAGCCACCGCACACAGAGGGGAGGAGAGTAAAAGGAGGACAAGACATACTGCATTGGCATAACTGAATGTACTTCAAACCACTTTGTATTTTATTTTTTCAAATGAAAGTATTTACACAGATAGAAGTAAAGTGGCACAGTTATGGCCAGAATTATTTAGCATTGTAGTAGTTATGTTGACAGATCATTTTCTGCTAGTGATAAATCAATTGCCCACCAACCACAAGAGTTTCTTCTGGATGGAAGGTGAACCCTCAACCCTCTTCAGAACTTCAAATGCCAAATTTACCACTTACCTGAAAAATCTCTCTCTAAGGTGAGCACGGACAATTTTCTCTTACTTTTGCTTTATGAGGGTGAGGCTAAATTTCATGCTTCTTGAGTACAGACCCTGTTAAACGCCTCATTATTGACTGAATGAATCGCCTGCAGATGTTCAACTATTCATAACCTGGATTTACATATTCAAACAGATTATGCGGGAAGGCAGGAAAAACATTTGATTTAGCCTTTGAGGTATGCAACGTTTTACATAAAACAACAAGATCATTTCCATGTTATTAAATCCCTTAGCTCAGGAAGGCAGTGGAATCAAATCAAATATAGTTTATAGTAAAAATACTTCTCCTATTTGATTTATTCAACTGCTGAAAAATAATCAATGAGGCATTGAAATTAATCTGTTTTTTAAAGATTATGGTTTCATTATCTTTATCTTGGTTTAAGCCTTTTTTTAGCCTTATAAAGTATGTATTTATTCCAGTGCACGTTTTTAATTGAGGCCAGAAAGTGTTGAGAAATGATTTTGTGTCTGGTGGTGGCCCGGAGGCCTGATTTCACTAAACGTCTCTGACAAGAAGAACAGATGAGAGCGGCTGACACTGGACCTCCTAACATTTAGATTTTTAATCCTGCAGATTTATGAGCCATGCTGCTGTGTCTGTTGTATTTTAATATAGGCTTTTGTGCAACATTTTCACATACTGTTTCTCGACAGTGCTTTCTTTTCAACAATATAGGCACAAGTCTGGAGGTCGAATGCTGCAATAATCTACATTGCACAAACTTTTCGTAATTTTTAACTAAAAGTTCTGAGGGCAAATTATTCATAAAAAATTGGCTGTTCAAAAGAATAATACTCTTACTAAGGCCATCACAGCCCACATTTTTCATATTATGAATAATCAATATAATTTAGGGCAACTGACATTTAATAAATTAAATGCATGCAGCTCCATTAGAAAACACAAGGGATCATATTAGCATTTAGCTAATTTGTTTTACTTGCATAAAAGTTAAATTGTAAATAATACATAATTCATAGCAGTAGAGTCTGTGTACACTGTCTGACCTCCTGTGGTATGTTCCAGGCCATGTACACGTGGCTCTTGAACTCGTCCATCCAAACCTCAGCCACTCTCAGTGCATTTCGCCACGTGTGACGTCAGGTCCTCTGTGTACGGTTTGTGAGCGCGCTCAATGTGCGCGATACGGGAGCAAGGCAGGACCTCCACACTGCCCCCACACTGCCACACCTGACAAGCAGAAAGACAAATATTGTATAAGGTTACTCAGCTGTAAGCCAAATAATGTTAAGTCTCTTTACTCTACTCTGTAATTTAATGAGAATATTAACATTTGGAAGCTGATTTGTTATTTGTTAAGCAACACATTAATCAGCAAAACAGGAATGAAGACTTCATAATGAACACATAATTAAGAAAGATTCCTGCTTTGTGTATACTTAATTGGTACCTGAACACTAGCTCCTAACCTAGTTACCAAGCCTAAATCATTCTTACTAAGCTATTTGTTCATTATGAACTGTATTTATTAATGCTTTATTAAGTCAAATTAAGGTGAATTTATTAGTTGTACTGATGATTTATTCACTATAAGCAGAACTGACATTATTAAACAAGGTAGGTTATAGGGCCAAACAAAGTAAGCGCAAACACAGGGTAAATGAGCTCAACTATATAAAGCGTGGCCTTGGTTCTATACTAACAATATAAACACAATACATTATTTTTCATACAAAATACAATTGCAGATATGTCTGGCCTGAAAGCATGGAAGATAAGCGCACACAAGACAGAATACATGAGCAAGAATAAGAGAGACCCAAGAGGAGTGGTGAGGTTACAGGGAATAGAGCGGGTACTTGGGGTCAATAGTCCAGTGCAGAGGAGAGTGTGAACTGGACGTGAGGAGGCACGGGCAGCAGGTGGAAAGGGTGGAAATAAGTGTCAAGTGTGATAAAATAGTTTTAAAAAATGAAAGCTGTGCATCCCAGTGGTGAGACCAGCAATGCTGTTAAGAGAGGAGAGCATTTGAGGTAGACTGGAGGTAGATCTGATGTTGAAGTTGAGTTTAAAAATGATCATTGCATTAGAGAAACTGCAGTGTTGTAGGTAAAGATTAAAATCAGATAAAAACATGTGCTTGCTTGAGTAAAATGTAAAAAAAAAAGTCATAATTAGCCCTTTTGTTATGTTTTGGTCTCAGTTTAGGTTTTTATTTTGTAATAGTTTACTAGTAAATCAAGACAAGTCTGAAAATATTGCTTGTTATTGAATATCAGATTGTTTTTCATATTGTGCAGCCCTAGTGTGCATAAATGGCTGTACAATGTAGGGAAAATGCAATGGACGGACTATGGTTATTCCTGTGACATTAATCTTAAAGGTCTCGTATAACGCTATTTTCTGATCTATGTTATAATGTTGTTTCATAAAAAAAAAACATACCTGGAGTGTTTTGTTTCATTCACACACAGAAACCACTCCCTCCACTCCTTTCATCTTATGATGTCATGTGATAGAGGATGTGCTCCACTATGTTTTTAAACTCCATACATCTTCACTGGAATTATTTGGATGATTTCAGCCCTGGAATCGCCGATCTCTACTGAACAAAAAGGTGAAAGGTAGTTGTTAACTTGAAAACTACTGCTTCATGACATCACAAGGTGAAAAAAGAGTAGTTTAAGCTTTGGAGATATAGACAGACTAAAAATAAATTACTCAAACATAAGAGAATGAACCAAAACACAACTCCAAGTATGTTTTTGATGAGGTAACAGCAATACATAATATAGGACCTTTAACAATACAACAATCAACAGAATGCTCCACTTTTAGATATCCTCTGCCAAGTTTTATAGTTAAATGTGTGCACTTTTTTGTTCTTTTTCAAAATTATCACAAAACTGTTACAACCTGATCCAAAATTTTGAGAAATGGAGTGTTAAAAATCTCCATGGTACAAGCTCAGTCAGTCGTGATGCCATTGGACTGTTATCAGTATCAACAAGTCACGCAATGCTCTTCCTGCAGTGTGCTATGTCCCTATAGTGAAAAATGTCAAGGTCCTGCTGCCAAGAGGGAACCTGAGTCTTAATGACAAAAAGCTACTGGCTGTAAGTCCCCACATAATGAAGACCTCTGGGAACCTAACCAACTTGGAATCGTGCAGGTATGACTGGAGAGAAGAAATATGCACCATCAACAATACAGCACCTTGGCATACATTGCAGTGTCTACGTCTTTGCTTTAATTTTTAAATTTGTACTTGATAATTATACAGACAAATATAAAAGTGCACTTGTTGGGGGTCCGTCACCTGCTTGTTTCTATGGATATGTTCCTGCTCTGCCTGTATTGTTTCACAGTATGACATTAAACAGCTCTAGCTTACGTTTTATTTTAGTTACATGTGGTTTTACAGTTCAAAAATTCTGACTGTAAGCGGTGTTGCCACTCCATAGAGCCAACCTGTAACTTGGTCTGGTCTCCATGAAGATGGAAAGCTTTAATACAATACTGTGAAACATTCCAGACAAAGCAATAACATCAAAGCATTTGATGGACCCTCCACCAGAAAAGTTACACAATGCTCCTCTAACAGATCCACACAGTTTAGCTTTATTTGATTTAAAAGAATCTGACTCGCAACATACTAAATGGTAAAATATGTAATGCTGATGTAAACAAATAACTATTACAGCAAATGAAAAGCGGCACAGAGCATGTTTACATGTTCACAGTGAGAAAGCACCAGAAGATCTGTCATGAGCAGAGAGGGAGAGCATGCAGAAATAAACTGCACTTTGCTGCTGTTTGAATGAGCTGTAAATCGGCATGCTGTGCTTTTGTATGGAGCTTAAAAACACAGCTGACGTCTAAGCAGAAGCAACATAATTCATGTCATGAATACAAAAATACTGTATTTAAAACATGTCTTTAATCATCTTTATCTGGATGTAATGTTTTGTTACATTTTAATTACAGTACATACATCATGCCATTTTGTTCCCATACAGCCCCATCAAAAAGCCTGTGTTTTTGCTACCATTGCTTGCTTTGTTAGCGACCAAGATTAAAAGTCTTGTTTTGATTGTGTTTTCAGAAAAGACCGGTAATTGTGTTTCTACAATTATGGTTCAATTCATTACCTGTATTTGTAATTTTGCCATGCAGGTAGAACAAAAAGACTACTGTATGTATTCTGGGTCTTCCGATAAGATATGACCAAAATTAATTAGAAACTGTCTTCACAGACTTTCAGCAACTATTACCATGGTTTAAAATCATTTACTATGGTTAGTTATAATAAATTATCTTAACATGAGATATGAGGTGCTATGTACTAAAAAAAGGAAAATCCAAAATCAAAGTTGAGACAATGTTTAGAGAATTTGTTCACGGACCTAAGGGTCGAAGGGTCAAATCCCACTTGGACCAAGTTCTGTCGCTGCTTACAGTTTTGACAAGCCTGTAAAGCTCATTGCAAATCTATTATTCTCCGTGTGCACTATGAAACTTGTCTGGTAGGGGATTTGCCATCTGGTTGTCTCCATGGAAATTAAGTCATTAAATCATTAACCTACCTGTAATGTTCTGCAGTATGGCATTAAACTGTTCTACCTCCATGGTGAGAAGCCACCATGCAGGCTAATTTACAGGTCAGATAATAATAATACTACAATAATAAAACAATAAAATAATAATAATAAAACATCTGCAACTGAATAAATGCAAGCTAGACAAGATTAATGCCATATTGTCGAATATTCTAGACACACCAACATGTCCACGGACACAAGCAGATGACAGATCCTCCACTAAAAAGTTACATAGTATGCTTTTAAATAATTCAGTTCCAGAAATCACTAAAACAAAGTTTCAGATTTTTAATTCTATAGAGTCTGCAGGAGTGTTTTTTTTTTTTTTCTTTCTAAAAAGTCATTAATCTAGATATTCTTCTGCAGTATAATTATTACTTTTGAATGTGTGTGGTATTGGGCTTTTTTCCACATTTATGATTTGTCATGATCATTTAGACAAGATTAACTTACTGTCCACATTTGTATCTTAATGGTTATAAATTGGTCACGTGGTGGTCAGGAAGGACTGTGGCCTGGATTTACAGTAAGCAGAACATGAACCAGGCCAAAGGAGTCTGTCTTGGGATAGAAACACTGACATTAGCCGCTTTATGTGACAGTAATGGGCCCCAGGCTGATTAAAATAAACACATGACTTTGGAGAATTGTCGTCAGCGGTGTCAGCACTTTACAAAGCACTCTGGGTGTATTAAAGCTCCTAGCCTCTCTCCATTCATCACTGTCAACTTTGAGAATCCCACTGAGTTTTAATTGTCTGATGTTTTTTTCAATTAATTATGAGGAATTGCCTGTTGCTGTCAAAACAAAAAGCTCCCATTATATCTAGCTCGAAAAGGCATCCATTTTCGAAAGTAGGATTTTCTACAATAGATACGTTTTCATGGACGATCAAACCCTCCAGATCATTTGCATATTGCGACGCAGACTGTCTATTACTCATAAAGTGGAAAGTGTGGCTCAAAAGCTCTGTGGCAATATAAAACCAATATTATCTTTGGATGAGAGACTGCTATGTGCTTTAAAAACTGGCAAAGAACTTTTTTATATAAAGCTGGCGAGATGAAGCGCACTAATCAAACAACAGTAAAGCTCACCTGTCTCCAAAACAAGCCCATATGGAACACATTTACAAAGTACATTCTGGTACAAGCTTTGATATTCAGTTTATTGCTTGGGATCAAATGACAAAAACAAATTTAAAAAGTAAACAAAGAGCTGTGGGATATCCCAAGAGGATGCTTGGTCAATACTACACACTTTAGTATATGGTGGCCAGATTTTCAAAATAAAAAATAGGACACAGCCGAGTTGGATTGGTTGGTATAAATAAAACTGTGACAAGAGCACGTAACACTGTCCATTCTCCCAGTCGTAATCTGAGGAACTTCTGTTAGTGTAATTTTTTGCCTTATGGTCATTTTCAATTACAATTTTGTATATTTTATCTAAACAAATCAAAATATATTGCCTGCTTTACTGTTGGCGTGTATCAGATTGGTCAAAAATAGGGACACCTGGGATATTTCTTGTATAAAACTGGGACAAATCAGAGGATTTGGATAAAGCTGCTGGGACAGGGAACACTGCCACAGTATCAGTATTTTGAATGAACCATGTTTAGTATTT